AGGGCTCCATAACTACCACTGCCTTTGCAGAGAGACAGTCAGATGGATAGGCATCAGGTCAGGAGCTGAAACTGCATTGGTACATCAGACAAGATCTCCCTCAGCACTTTCAGGTTCTTCTTAAAAGACCAGAATGCTTTTCTCCTTTATAAAGTACCAAAGAAATGAATATGAAATTTTAAAGGCTAGGGAGGTATAAACTTCTACAGAACACCTACTTTAGAGTTTCTCCCAGCAAATCTTGAGGAAACAGATGCAGTTCAGCTTCTAAGAATCTTCAGAGAGGCTCAATAAAAATGTGCTAGTTGCTACAGAAACCTGATAGAGAAGACATTTACCATGCCAAGCAAACAGAGTGAGGCATTGAAGTCAAACATGATATGTCATAGATATATTTTTAATATTAAACAGTGTTTTAAAATAATAACTAACATAACATTTTGTTTTTCAGTACTGGATTGCTGGAAAGGAAACCTGGTTTCCTGCTGCTCTCCTAAACTATGGTCATAAAAATAAAGCTTATTACAAAATATTCTATTCCTGTTTCTCTTATGGTTTCATATTATGTCATTACAAAAACCTGTGTGCTATACATAATTATATTCTTTACACTAAGACACTTTTAAGTCTCTTCCTTTAGCAACCATCACGACCACTACCCAGAGGGTATTACTGCATGAATAAGGTCAGATTTTGCCATCTCCGATTACAGCTGCAAGACTTAATACTGGAGAATTGTTGAAGGGAAGGTAGTGAGTCATCTCTCTTGCTCTGTGCTGTGAAAACTTCACATATTTATTCTTCAAGAAAAATGGATTTGAAAACAGTCATGACTGGAAAGATGAAATACCTCTCTTCTGCTCCTTCAGTCTCTCCTAACAGTGCCTTAATGAAGTCCCCAGGACATTCCATGGATCCTTTTTCCTTATTCCTAAATTGCCATCTGTAGTTTTAGGCCAACAACACCCATAGTCCTGTGAGAAAGTCCAGGCTAGCCACTAGAAAGACCATGTGTAGCAATACTAGCACACACACTGCAGGGGTTTCTACATGCCATCTCGTAATGTCTGCCATAGAAAGTTAAATCCCCAGTTTGCTTTGCCAGGTAGCAGAGATGGTATCAGCGAGAGACACAGAGTCCCACAGGCAGGTTTCCAGCCACAGCAGTGGAAGACACCCTTAACCATCCCTAGGCAGATGCTTCTGTGTTGGAGAAGAGCTGGTTTTGTTCAAGCAATTTTGCTGTGGTTACAGAGAGGATTTACTTCAAGACACTACAGAAGAGTTGGTTGGAAGGGACTTCTAGAGATCATAAAATCCATCCTCATCCACCTTGACACAGTGCATTGCCAGCAACAGATGAGGTCAGCAAGAACCTTACCCACACAAGTCCTGAAACCCAGGATGGCAGAGCACACCATCTGTGCATGTCTCATTCCTCTGCAGCATGAACTGCCTATGCAAGAGGGTTTTTTCCAAATCTCTGCTCTGAACCTGTCAAGCCACAGTCTGTGACTCTTGCCTCTCTTGCATCTGCCACAAGCAAGAACAGTTTGGCTCCTTCATCCAACAATCCCTTCAGGAAGCTGGGATGCGTTTACATGCAAAGGGATGATAATGAAGGTGTACAAGCCTTGAAGAGCTTTATCTGTTAACTGAAATAAAACCTTTTTCTTTCCAGAATAAATGCATCCTAAGTCTTCTTCACTCCAGTAAAGCATGTACGGGAGCCCAGGTCTCCAAGAACAACTTTCACTATAACAGAAGCATTCAAAAGAAGAATACATCCCATTTCCAGCTTCCTAAGTCTTTGCAAAAGCTTCCAGATAGAGTTATAAGGCTTTAACATTTTTTTTTTATCATCACCTGCTTCCAAGCAGTTCTGCCTTACCCTCTTCTACAAATTCACAGCACAGGATTTCAGTTTGCCCAGCAGTGCCGTTTCAACATATAGCAGGTCCTCAAACACCATGAAATAATGATGCAAACCCAATCATATCTGGCCAGACCAGCAGTGAAGTTTCTAACTCACACATGTAGATTTGTTTGGTTTTAGCACTTTGGATAAATGGTTATCTGTGAGGTCATCACTTTGAGTGTTAACATCCTGGGCTATTTATTTGTTATTCATCAAAGTAAAGTGCTCACAATTTAAGGGCACAGGAATAAGTTTTCAGAAGAGAAGCAAGATACCAAGAAAAGTAAAATTAGAGCAGACCTAGTTAACTCTTGCCAGCATGGGCTGGTTTTCCTACTAGTCATTTGGTATGCGGGTTTCATATCTTCAAAGCTGGATGTGATCTTTTAACTTGGTAATTTTAATGATTCAAACACATCCCAGGTGAACGCTTGTAGAGATCCTAAGCTCATAAGAATGACCTCAGCAAACAATTCTCTTGATGATAATGTAATTTGAGTTGACTTTCTATACACATATATGCTCTAACCAGCACACATTTGAAAGCATATACAGTGATGACCAAAACTATACCTTGCCATATACAGCTCCCTGAACAGCTTTTGGCTCTAACACGCTACAAATTTAAGGAAAGTGCGTAAGCACAGTCAGTTCATCTAGCAGAGAGCCCTGTATCCAACTATGTCTAAAAGCAAGAGGATATGGAAGAGCAAGACAAGCACAGAATGGCATTTTGCTGATATATTTCTGCAGCTTCCAGCATTCATACACTCTCAGAACTTACAGTACCCCAAACAGTAAAATCCACAGATTAATCACACACTTCATGAAAACTTACCTCCTCCTTTGTTATTTTCATTGCTATGAATAGTTTAGTATGATTAGCAAATTTTATCATTACTTTCTAGCAGATTATTTCCCATATAATTTGTGAATGTGCTGAATATCACTAGCACTTGTAGAGTTCTCGCCACCATCAAAATCGACTATTTAAACCTTTTCTCTGTTGATTACCTTTTAGTTAGGTAGTAATACTCAGGGCACCATTCCTCTCAGATCTGGGTAACTTACTTTCTTTGTGAACCCCTGATGAGAAATCTTAATAAAAGTCTTTTGCAAACCCCAGTAGAGGATCTTAATCAAACCATCCTGTCACTGATCCAGTGACACCTTCAAAGAGCTGCAGCAGATCTGAGAGACAGTACTTACTGCTGCCTTCCCGTAAATATCTGGTTTATTTCAATCCAGTGTATCTGTGCATCATTTATTGCATTCTTTCTAATAATAAGTCCACCAAATTTAGTCAGACGTGGTTATTTAGACAAAGGCATTGACATAACCTTGCTAACAATGAAGTTAATGTTTACTGCTGATAGTAATAAATGAGTCACCTTTCTTGTTCTTTCTAAAAAAAAAATAATAATTTCGTTTTGTGCATAGACTTAGAATAAGTAGGAATAATGTGGGAAAATGGTGATAGGATTATTCAGTATGAAACATGCAGGGCTGGAAAAATCACCAGGTACTTGTTTAAAATCAGAATCCATAGCACGTTTTTGGTAATTTTACAGGCAATAATAACACAACAAAAGAAAAAATCTGTTTTCATAAGAGACATTCATTGTGTTATGTTTCTTAATAACTGAAGCTTACAGAGCCCTTTAGGTAAAGAAAGCCCATACTGTGCAGAGGGATTTCACAACATCCTGTTTATTTCAAACAGGACTTCAGAGTGCCACTGGGTAAAGAAAATGTGAGAGCATTTGTTCAGCATTTTGCTAGACAAACGTAGAAACTATATTTGAATATCCTAAGCTCTTTTAACAGGTGAGGCTTTTAAATTGCGAAGACAACATAAATAACAGCTTTAAATATAAACAGCCAAATGCTCCAGTCACAACTACAGCTCTTACTGCTGTGATTACTACACACTGACAAGTTTTTAGACCTGTCCCTTGCTATTTGTTCCTCAACTACAGGACAAAATCCTTTACTGGCTTCTCTAATCCACACAGACATGTATCCAGCTCAAACATTCATGTGGACTTCAGTCGTGCCTGGAGAATCCTGTAACTTCTCAGACTTGACTACGGTTCAGTTTTGTTCCCAAGTACCGTTACAGCATGCTGTAGACTTATATAAAACATATGTGTATCTCCTGACTATTACTTATTCCTTGTGTTTGGGGTTTGTTTTTCATTTTTCTTTCCTAAAGCAGGGGAGTGTCTTCCCCTCTCTCTCCTGACCTGAAAGCAAAGCATTTCACAGAGAGCTTCTCCATCAAATAGCAAAACCTCCGGCACACAATTAAATAACTCACATCAGCATTTCCATCTAAAAAAAACCACAAAAGGAAACAGAAGTGATGTGTTCACTTTAGCCTGATTTATCCCAAAATTGAATACACATCCTGGTAAAACAATAGGTATTTTCCTAAGATCATCTGTCACAAGGGACAGAACATAAACTTCACCTCTGGTCTATTTGATGAGGTTTATTATCCCAGAAGAAAGTGAAATCAGACAGTCATCTCAAGTTGCAGAGAAGAAGAATTTGAAAGCAGAGCGGTATTTCAGACAAGTTAGCAAAACTACAATTTGAGAAACAGAAAATGATAAATTGAAGAAGATAATTTGCCACGTTCAGAGGGTTTTTTCAACTTTCCATGTGACACTTTTTTTGAACAAACTGCTTTTCTGCAAGCAGTTTTACTCTTACCATGTCATGAAGAGTATTTTATTCTCTTTGAAAAATTACATGGTCCACACTGGTATTTGATTTGAGCATGCAATTTTACTTTCTCTGCCCCTCTTTGATATGCTATTCTTTTTCTCTAGTTTTGTCAATTTTGATTGGGAAGATGAAGGAGTCCTGTGCTGTATGTGCCTAGAGCCCACTACCACAGGAGTTCAGATTCTGTGTACATGTCAAGACCCTTCTGCACTAAAAGAGGTATCATTGTCACCATCCTTCTAATCTGGATCTTAAATATATGTGTTTGTCATTTGATATTTCAATGCCATTTAACATAAGATGAATGGTATACTACTGTGCAAGAAAGAAAAAAAGTTCACCTACTCACCTTGACAGCAGTAATTTACCATGAAGTTTCAAATCAGCAGCACAGTCATCAGATTGACAGTTCCTCTCAAAAACAGTCTGTGAAAAACGCAAAAGAACTGTTAAAGCATGAAAGGAGGACTATCAAAGTTCAAAGAAGGAACATGTTTGGATGAAATAAAAAACCACTAAAATCTGTGATACAGGAATATACAGTGTGAGTGTTAAGGAAATTCAAGGTGAGGTAAATCTTATCCTTATAAGAACTGGTTTTATTCTCTTCTAACTGCACAATAAATTTCATCAAACTACACTCTCTCAGAGGTTTTCCCCAATCCATTCTCACTTCTCATCTGACAAGAATTACTGCTCATACAATATTTCTGGCATTCTTATTTCTCTTCCCAAAGTAGGTGCATGAAAATCAAACAGAAAATAAAGTATTTATGAAACTATTTTTAGTCCTAAGAATTGCAAGTAAGAAAATCATACAGCAAATATTTTCACGAGATTTTATGTACAGTACAAAACATTTCTGACATCCTGCAAGCAACAGAAAGTGACAAAGACTGTTACATACCAGTGACACCCTCAAATAATGGAACCATTGTCAAACTTGTGAACTCCGGTAATGCTTAGAATAACAGAATCACAGAATATGTTGAGTTGGAAGAGACCCACAAGGATCATTGAGTCCTCTTAACCCTGCACAGGATCATCTAGGAACTATGAAGGGACAACATACAGGCATGCTATTTAAGTGGCAAAAAGCAGGGGAGTACATGAGATGTCTATGAACTGATGCATATCTCTGTAGTAGTGTGCCATGGCTAAACGAGGCAGCTACCAGTAAGTGAAAGAAGAGAACATGAACATGTTCCCGGCATCAAAGAAATCCAGATGCTGTCAAGATCAAGGTTACCTTCCCCTGCTGTTTAGACCAGAGATCGATACCTTTCTGAACATAAGGTGAGACTTTTCAGGCTGAGGGACTCACTCTTTCAGAATTGTGATGCTCTTCAGCTTACCCTATATTGAAACACCCAAAATGAGTGCTGCCAACACTGTTCAGCCAGGAAACCTGACGATCCACCAATCTTTTCCTTTAATATGAATGTTCCTTTCTTCAGTCTTGGCTTCTTTATTTTAATTACAAAAGTAATATAATTCAATCATAAATGCAAAGACAGAGAAAATCTGTCCAGGACACACATAACAGTCAGATAGGGTTGGAGAGACTGAGGAGGAAAAAAAAAATTATGGAGTTTGTACATTTTTTAAGAGTTCTGCCCAACTGTATCAGGATTGGAGAAAGACTTGAACCTTAGGCCCAGAGGGCATAGAGACTTCTGGTCCTTTCCAGGAAGATTCTTGACTAAGGAGGCAGCTTGTTCTCCTTTTAATATGTTGTCAGAGCTCTCTCAAAAAAGGAGTGGACCTCTATAAAGTTAATTGGTGTTGGACTAGCAGATATCAAACTATGCACTGAGTTGCAAAAGAAGAAAGATGGAAGGTGGCCAGTTCATCTGGGCTATTTTTACTTCTCTCTTTCACGTTCCTTCCCCACCTTTTGCTTTATCAGAATATCAGAAGTGAAATTTATTGTGGCTTTAAAAACAAGGACTCCTCAATAAAGACTACCACAACTAAAGGACAAGAATAGCCCTGACACAGGAACAGATGCTAAGCATCCCTCGCAAAACATGACACATTTCAGAGGTGTAGTTTCCAAAGTCCTCAGAATTAATCCCCAACCACTGTAGTAGCTATACATAGGAAAGACTGTTTGACCTTGAGAGGCGAAAGAATAATAAACTGTAAAAAAATTCTTGCCTGTCAGTTTCCCTGTTTGCATTGCAGAAATCTTGGCAAAGCGAACACATCGACCTAAGAAATGATCTGTACGTTTCAAAGGATCAAGTACTGTAAGTACATTTACGTGACTATCTAATAACCCTGCCATTTTGTTACTAAATCTATAGTTACAGTTCTGCAGAATGAACTAACAAATATTTCATTTTCTAAAATCACTGAACATGTATTTTTTCCGGCTTGCATTAGACAGCAAGTTATTTTGAAATACATAGAGAGTATTTCACTACATCACAGGAACCCTAGTTCCTATACAGCACTGGGTTGGGAGAAAGAAATTATGGTGATGAGTCCCCAGATCTGTAGCTGTGTTGGAGTCAACTGTTTGCTTCTGTGGAGGATCTTGAACCTGCTCAGGTTTGGGGGGAGCTTTGTCACCTCAAAGCAGCTGGCTGAACTGGATTTCCAGTCCAACAGGCTGCTAGGACTCATGGATGCAGGCACAACTGATTCAGTAGCCCAGGAACTGATTAGCACTTCCAGGCTAAAGACACCTCTGGATTATTTTGATATTTTCCACTATTTCCGTGGTCTATCAGGACTCAACTCCACTTTCCCTTCTTGTATGTATTCTAGAGTCTCAACCCTCTAGCTTCTTACAGTCAGTGTATTGCCTCCATTTTCTTTTCTTTAAATTTGAGCATTCTCTTCCTCAGCCTTTTGCTGCTTTCTGCTTTTCAAATTGACTAATTCCTGCCTGTTTAAATTCCTCCTAAAGAATTAAGAGAGTAAACACATTTAAGGCATCATAAAATTTGTGAACACTACTTACATATTCTGTTACTGTGCCCTTACTCAGGTTACTGGCTGCAATTTCTTTGAGCCAGAAACTGTACCTAACTCAACATTGCAGACTGTTACAGCAGGAGTCCATTCCTGGGATATGGCACAGGCCCTACTATAATATCATCATGAATTTTAAATCCAAGCAGTCTTTAAACTGGTTGCAGCTTTACAATACCAGTTTTGAGGATTTATAGAGCTCTTTAAATATTAAAATTGTTAAAGAAGGTAAGCACTGGGTTGTATGTCTTATCCATAACTGAAAAAAGGAAGTAGGGTAAAATATTCACTGCACTGTGTAAACAGTTCATAATTTTTGCTGTTACTATTACTCAAAGTGAAGAGTAACAATTCTGAACAGTGATTTTATAGAAATCTAATTGAATTTTACTGTATTCTACTAACATTGAACCAAGTACCTCACAGCTTTGAATATGTATATCAGAGATGGTCAGAAAGCTTCCTTACATAAGAAATACATACATAAAAAACTGGGAGGGGTGAAGGGCAAAAATTATCCTCAGTGAAAAACACAGCTGCACCTCTTATCTCAAGGCCACCACGTAATTGTCTGGCATTTCCACAAGAAAAATAGGTGTTTGTGTGCTCAGTAGCAGGGACAGGATAACCTCAATACTTCTACAACATATCTTCACTGTACAAACACAAAACTAATGTAAAGTACATGCTCACTGAGTCTGTCAGACTTCCTAAAATCACCAGATCTACAGTAAAGCACAGATCAAACGCAGTGCCCAGAGGAGAGAAATTGTTCCTCGGGAACAATTGTTCCAGGGCAGTTCTCACCATGTCACCAAACTTCCTGGACAAACACAGTTTTCTCAAGTTCTGCATGGCAACTTTTCTGAGTAAAAAAAGATAATGCTTCTTGGGAGATCAAAGAATGCGATAGATATGTCCCTGAGAGGTTAGAAAAGATGGATGGTGCTCATATCCTCCAGTGGGTAAGTCAAAAAGCCTACATTAAGGTACACTCATTATAAAGAGTGAATATACACATCTGTACATAATCAAATGTACAGTAAGGAGGAATCTAAAGACAGCTGATCAGGAAGGGAATATGTCTACATAGGCAGACACATCAGGGCCTCAAAGCAAGTATCTGTGCCCATTATGCCTCTTGAAGAGAAGAATAAGAATTAAATTCCACATTTTGTGGTAAAGGCCAGGGGTAAATGTAGTAGAGAGTAAGAGGGGGATAAATCTTTAGTTCCTGCATCCTAAGCCATCCTAAGCATAAAGCTTCTGGGTATTGGGCACGTATATATTCTCCTTTTCCTTCTTGCTGATAGTGGACTGCTACTGAAAGCTGCTAGGAGGTAAAAAAAGAAAGGAGCCTGGCTTCAGGCTAATGATCAGAGCTCTGTACTCAGAGGAAGGCAATCTGGGATTTCATACCAGGTTTATTAAACTGCTTCACTTTCTTTCAATGGCTATCAAAAATTAAACACATCTCTGTTTCTGGAAGTAGGGAAGAGAACAGGAAATATAGAAAATAAAAAAAACCCCAACTCTGCATTTATGGCACTCCCCCCTACAGAAAATACTGGAAATCTTCCAATAAACTAAGAGGAAAAAAAACTATTTCAAGATATCCAATCTCCCAAAATTCAGGGAAGTACATGAAAATTTCAGGTTGTAGCCAAAGTGCACAAGACTTTGAGAGGTTGCCAGCACTGTTCACTAGAACAGTGTTCTAGTGTTCTAAGAGTTCTGCCCATCCTTTCACAGAAATGGAAGGTGACAGCTGAAGGTCAATGCTTGAAGAGAAGGGGGAAAAAGGAGGAGAAACAAAATTCTGAAAAGAATCCTTGAAAACATCATTTTGTGGACATGGATAAGAGAGCAGGGATTCACTTGAGATCTGGCGTTAAAGTACTTCCTCACACATCAGTCAGATAGCACCCCTTAAAAAGTGGCAGACCTGCCTTTTGGTAAATGAGGATCCATTCCTTCAACTTCATACACTGTGCCATGGACTTCTACAGAAAAAATAAGGTTATGCAAAATAATCTGAGTTAAGAATACAGTATTTCAATCTCTGATTTCCTGTAAATTGTCACCAAACCCTGTAGCATGTGCAGAGATGACTTAACAATTAGATCATGCTAGCAGCAAAAAACCAATTCAGTAAGGGTGCTCGTTATTCTAATAATGCTTTACTTTTTAGATCTTGATGCTATATGGTTATAACCACATCATCTTGTAAAGCTGAGTTCTTCGACCCTTATTCAGAGATGAGGATATATGATCCAATTTTCAAAAGTGCTGAGCTGTAAGCAAAGCTCACTACCTTTCCTAGAAAGTATTTTTTGTTTATAGTTTTACACTATACACTTTTCACTCACTGTGCCTAAATATAGATACAGGAGTCTGATTTTAGACCTTCACTTATTTTGTTTTTAAACCCTCAAGCTGCCTGC